TGCATATATTATGAAATCTTGAGACTAACAAGGCGACAGTGAAATTGTTGCATAATATTGTAAAGACTTTATTAAATATCAGTATATGGATCAGTTCAAGTAATTAAATACTAAATTGAGTCGAAGGTCTTTAATCTTTGTACTTCAGAAATGAGCCTTCGTAATCAGTGATCCATGAAGACAAATCTTGGGGCTTTCACTGAGTCTGAACAATTTCACTTATTCCCAGTGCTGACTCAAAAGGGTGTTACGAAAAGGAGTGAACTTGCTGACAGACGTTGACTTTGTTTGGTCAGTGTGTGAAATACGTCCCTGTGCTTAATCACCATCCCGTGAAGACGTGCGCGGAGTGAAGGTGAAGTTCCAGACATTAACCTCGGCGTAAAATTAAAATGAATGGTCAGATTCACGCTCCAATTCCATTCTCTGGTGAAAAACCACTCAGTACCCATTGGATGGAAAGTTGAGCGTACTCCAGAGTGAGTCTGGATCAGAGATGAATTATTGTCACGTTGACACAATTGACAGAAATGCAATAATGCAGGTCTATGTTCCTATTTAATATAATTATCATATTTATCCACAAAAGCACAAATATGATATTTGAAACCGTAGCTCGTCTGAATAATATCAGTAATCCAGTCCCTACCGCAAAGAAAACACTTCGCGTCTCCAAATATTAGTTTGTTGATGCAGTGCAAAGAAATATTACACTCTGTGATCAAAATGCATAGTTACTTATAAACGAAAGTTGTACATACAGTTACCATTGGTCTTCAAACGAATCGTTTACCGCGCCTTTTAATTCCTTGTTTCTAAATGTGCAACAGAATTAGTTTATTGTATTCTTAACATAATCATGCCTTCGACTGTTTTAGGGTCAGAGCTATCGAATAAAAAATTATAAGTCGGCATGGATTTGTAAAATCTATAACATGACAAAGCAAATCACTTCATACATTAATGTGCACAATGTTAACATCTATACCTATGGACATATGAAGTGATAATATTAAAATGAATCCTAGAGGAAAACGTTGTGAAGCTGTTAATTGAACTAAACTTGTCCACGATATAGATCACTAGGCAAAATTTGTAGTAAAGTGACGAACTTTGATACTGAGTAATAGCCAGCTGCTCTGTGAAGGCCGTGTGCTATGTAGTTCACATAATTTATTCATTCCAAGTTCAAAATAATGTGTCTGTGTGGTGGATTGAAAGTTGATTAATAACCCAAATAGTTCAGTTCAGAAACACGCAGAAATTTGCAGTGTCTGAAAGCAGAGACGAGTTTTTATTGTACAGTACAGATGAAATTTATTGCTGAAGACCTCTCATGATTAATCTCAATTAGCGGTTTCATGTCTTTTGAAGTGTGTTAAACAGAGAGGGAACGTGGCCTTCTTTCGTCAGAGCTGCAAGTGTTGTGTGCCAGCTGATAAGTATTTATCGAAACCTCAGTTACACAGGAAATGAGTCATGCTAACTTCTACTTCATGATCATGTATTTTAATGCTACTTCCGTCCGAAATTTTCTGTTTATTAAATATGTACCGGCAAACCAAGAGCTCTCATTAAATCAATTCTGATTTAATTTAACCCACCAAGACATCAGTGGGAGCATTTTATTGAAAAATTTCCTCGAGTTAACAATCCTATACTAAATATTAAATTCAGCAACACGCATATTTATGAAACAAAATTATAACGCAGAAAGAGAATGCAGCAACATGACTCGAAGCTTTGACCAAATTTCTGAGTTTTCGTGCTATTTAGAGTAATTTATCCCACTCAGTTTAAAGTATCCAGATCGATCATTGCCACGCATTTACACAAAATACATAATGTAATAACTACCATAATATGTTTTCGCCTAACTGAATAGACGGACGTGTTGGTGAGTGGACTGAATATAATTTGAGCCACAGTGTCTCTTGAAGTCAGCGATTAATCTTAGTGACAGATATTTCTCAACGGTTGTATGTCACACCGCACAGTTCAGCTGATCATAGCATGTATCAGCGGAGCGAATTCTGAGAAAGGCCACATTACATTATACGAAACTCAGCCTCGTTTGTTTTTCGTCCTATTAGGTCTATACTACATACACAATGTAGGTGTACGAGAGTTTTAAGCTGTATTTACCAAAAACAGAAATAGATAAGCAGGGATGTAGTCCTAAAAACAAAAGGAAAAGACCATTTTTTGAAACTGTTGTCTTTAACACTCTAAAACACAAAGTTCGTCTTCATAATAGTTATAAATTAAGTTACTACCTCAAATAAAACACACAACACTTCTCCATTATAACAGATAATTAATGCTGTTTCGCGGAAACACTGCTAATGATGAGAATCATAATTATTCATACATAAACTCTGTAAGGAAAATGCAGTTGTTGGGACAAAAATTGACCGCTGTACTTTAGAAAGTTAAAATAAGTGCAAGGGTGTCTCCTCGGCAGACACTCTGTATCTCTTTGGACAGCCCTGGTTTGACAGCAGCTAAGAAAATAAAATAAAATTCGGTGTGGGGTTTCTGAAGAAAAAAATGTCATTGTGGTCTGTCTTGGACTTTAATTTATATCGGGGTAGGCATACACACATGTAATTTTCGTCTGTAACAGACTATGTTCATCCAAAAACAAATCATATTCCTGCAAACTAATATTTATGACTTTTATAAGCACTTCCAAACAAGATAGTAGCACGAAAGAGTTGAAGGTAAATAATAAAATCTGAAAGGGATTAAGCCGTTCAAAAGAATCATCCCCCGATGGATTTCAATGTTTCTGCTACACCAGTGTTAACATATTCGACCTCAGGGAACTTGTTATTTTGAACGGACACATAAATATGCGCATCATAATTTTGTTTCTTTACTTCATGACTGAGCATATATGACGACATTCTGTTTTGAACCAACAATAGACTCAGTATTTCCTGTAATCGAATTTCGTTCTATGTTCCTAGTTTGTTATGACGTGAAAATTGGCATAGGCCTATAAATATAGGCAGCTCACTGTTAATATGTAAATAAGAACTGAAATACGTACATTTTAACAACCTTTCTTTGCATGAAGTGTGCGTTTTCACTTCGACGATCTAAAATAAATACTTCTCGGACGATCAACCTAGTAATTACAGAGTTAAAACCGACGTTTCGGGGCCCTGTCTATCTCCGTCACTATAAACCGACGTCCGATATACCCGACACGTATTAGACGTCTGGGACAGAAATTTGTTCATAAAGTCGAATTCTTAATTATTATCGACACAACCGATAGCCCGAGAAGACCTAAGATTTTCATTACGCTTAAATAAAATGTGTATGTCTGCATTTTTTCAGCAACAGCTTGTCATACGAATACGTCCATATAATAGATGGCTCATGACGTTAAAGTCTACAAATTTCGTTCATTTGTTTTAATTCCAGAACTTAACTTCCTATACTTTGAGATAAAAATAACGCATTACGTTGCAATATAAATGCGGAATTTGACGACACATTGCCTGGTATTGCGAATGACAGGTAGCCATGGACAATAATCTCGTGATGTCATAAAACACGAACGTCATCGTAGCAAGGGTCACATCGAGATAAAGTCGAAGGCTGTTATCAAGTTAATAAAGAATTCGATAGAGCCTCAGAATAAATTATCTGATTGCCGCTTTCATGATTTCTTCCAGATGGTATATTCCCTTAAAGTTTCTAAACTAAAATTTTGTATGCATTTCTCATTTTCCTCCATTTTCCTTCCATCTCATCATCCTTGGATATAATCACTATAATAAGATTTGTTGAAGAGTAAGAATTATTTAAGCCCCTCATTATGCAGTATTATACATTCTCTTATTTTCTGTCTCACATGTTCAAATATTCCCTGTAATGCTTTCTCCTCAATTACCATGTTGACTGATTACGTTTCACAACCACACAGCTTCTATATTGGAATTATTTCACCGATATCATTCCTAAATATCGATATTGTGTAATAAACTATCTTAACTCTAAGGTAATATTGTCTTCTTATCATCGCAGGGGAGGAAATGTAGTTTTACGACCTCGCGTGAACAGGAACCTCTTGATCGTTCGCACGAAAACACTTCTCGAGTGTAACGCTGGTGTCTTCAGTCAGCACAAATACGTGCAGCAGGCAACAGGTTTATCGTGTGTGCTTAAGCAGAGGCATTTAGTTAATTTATTATTTGAGTGATTGTTGAGTGGTTCTCCCTCCACCCAGGTAACTGAAATTTTGTGTGTTTATTACTCTCTGGGTTCATTTTCTCCACCATCAAGCAACTCAGACTTACTTTCAAGTGCAGCAGCCTTCGGCAACAGGGGATTTGAAACATCCTGCTGGTTTTATTTTGAAGACAGTTTTGCCAACTTTGGTATTTAATTTTATGTATTCATGATTTTTAATTGGTGTGAGCTGAAAATCGGCCATTTTCTCACCAAAGATCCGCGTTTGCAGCGGACATGGCTGTAAGAACTCCGGAAAGCTATTAGGAAACTTTTGGATTACAGTTACTGTGTATTTGTGTTAGTACTAATTTTTTGTGTTTAATGACGGAACAGGCTACTTTGTCTTCGATGACTGTTAACAGCTGCTGCTGTACTTCTATAAAGACCTTGTTGATTTTATCAAGAGCGGTGTTTCGGGTCGCAACCCCAGCGGTTGGCAACAGCTTGCTGTAATCTCTTCACACGATTTGCAGTCTTTTTCACCATTAACATTCGTTTTCATTTCATTTATGTAAACACGGTTGTATGTAACGAATGTTTAATTTTACTTGCATTTGTTTGTTAATTAATAATGTTTCTTGTCCATGTTAGACGTCTTACCTAAATGTGTTCATAGAAGTATTTTTCTTTATATTTAATTTAATTTATAGGTCATATAATCAAAGGTATAGAAACTTATGTGAGACGAGAATTTAGGTACACATGTTTTTATAATACTGTTTACCTCTTCGTGTTTCTTACATTTCGTGAATCCTTTGAATTATTAAAGGAACAAAGGAAAAATTCATATAATCGCTTCTGTACATTTTCAAATATATAACGGCGTGATTTATTATAAAACACTATAGTTTGGTGTCAGAAGATAACAAAAAACAATAATGTCGATGTGTATGAAAGTTTGCGGATGACAGTTGTATGCATTATACATCCGCCATTCCCACGTTTCTGTGTATATAGATGTTTTTAAAACACACGCGAAAATTGACAAAGTTTGATGTTTTTATTTTGTACAAAAACAATCACGTGTGCGACTAAAATAATTTTAGTACCACTGTTATTGCATTGCATTGTGGATAGAAGGACTCGTGAGGGGAAGAAAAAGATTATTTCTTTGTGATAGCCTAGCAACGAGACTGGACGTAATACAACCAACTTCATTGCAAGGGGATTACAGACAACATAAAATTTCATAGAAGTGCCTCTTTTTAAAGAGTGAGTTCTGTTTTGTATTTCGTTTTAGATAAATCATTTTCTGTAATTCGACAAACCAAACTGCCGTTTCATATTTCTGAGTCGGTATCGTAAAAAAAGGAAATCAATAGGCAGGTAATGATTGCGTGTTTCAGCATGGGTCGTTCTGCAGTACAAAGGTGAGGAGGCATGGCGAAGAGAGATAGCATTGTGTAGTGCGCACGAACTCCCCTATTGCAGTGTTGTGCTAGACGAACAGAATGACGAACATTCTTAGCTTGTCGGTTATAGCTGCAGTTTGTGTAGTCGTCGCAGGTAACGCTGAAGAGGAAGGAGCAAATACCCACGTCTTGCTTGGAGAGTTTGACTTGGACGACCAATGTCACAGAATAGGAGAGACAGAGTGGACGTTTCTCACAAGGTCAGACCATCCTGACACCAGCGTGCTGCAGCAGAGCAAGGTAAGTGACGTGAATATGTTTGTCATTATGACGTAGGAAATTGAAGTGATGATAAGACGTAAACTTTATTTTATGTTATGTGCAAGATAAATACTCTTACGTTTCCTTACTGAAACTATGGTCTAATCTTTGTAAGAACTTTATACAAGTCTTTATATTCTCACGTTGTTTCCATAAATACTTCCTGCTACCTTTGTTTGAATGTAGATACAGGAAGAACAGACGTATGGGGATAAAGCTAGATCTCTTGCTGAGGAGGTGGCCCCTTATATGGAGCAACAGTTTGGTGACCCAAAGCTGAACGACAAACTACTCATCTTCTCCACTGCTGGAGATGTACTTTTAGACAAAGAATATTATGAGAAGGTGAAGTGAACACAAGTTACTTGCTTTTAAGCAACAAATGTAAAATCTTTGTGAGTAAATGGTAATCCATTTCAATGCCATCTTTCACTTTGTTAATAACTGATATTTTACTGGTAGGAATAACCAAATTTAATAATCATTCTTTATTTTATGACAATACTGACATTTTGCAATAATTATTTGTTCTAAAGAAAGTACTCACAGTATGTCTGATTATATCACTAGGTACTACGTACATTCTTCTAAAAAAGCCAGTTTATGTTAGCGTGAGCCTTCAGTGGCATGGCAAATTAGAATTACATTCTTTTCACAGTTTTAATAAATTGTACTTTTCCAAAAAGTGTAATTTATTAAAAAAAATAGAATATATAATTTTAGTTGTCTGTTAATTATTAGAGGAAGAACGATCCTCTTATTCTTAATTTGGTGAATACAAATAAAACCTTGTTTGTTTCCATATGATAAAATATTTGCATTAATATTTTCTCTGTTGCTCTTTTCACAGGAAGTTTTGTTCTCCAACAGTTTGCAACAGATCGCCAGAGAGTGTAGGAACTGCACGAAGCCTCCTTGTCAGTTGGCTGTGCTGGGTGAGTCATTTAGTTCTGCAGCGTTGTTCAAGATTTAACTTACAGACTGTGGTGACTTTGCACTAAAAATGGTTTTATTTTCATTTTATGTGAAACAAGTAAAAAGAAATTCTGGGGCTGATACTTATATGGATAACCAGAAGTGGCATTTTAATATTTGAAAGACGATACTTGCGTGTATTTTTCTGCTATACGTACTATTGCGTCTGTTCATTTTTCAGACGTGCAACATGTCCTGGCAACCTCAAAAGAGCCCGAAAAATTACTTTGTACATGGACAGAGTATCAGAGAAGATTCAGTTCAAAGATTGACGAATATTTGGAAATTCTACAACTCGCAAAAGTTGCCGCTGAAGCAAATGGTGAGAATTAACTGAGGCATTCTGCTACTGCTCGACTGTTTACGTAATTTAGAATATTAAATGTTAAGATAATATTCCTCCATAACTTTAAATCAAAACTTATAATCCATACCACTTTGAAATTTACTTTTCCACAGGCGCAGAGGAAGTGGAGACGTACTGGGAACAGCAGAGTGAATTTTATGGAGGTTACACGAAAGCTTTGTTTCTTTGGAAGAGTATTGAGCCTCTGTACCAAAAGCTGTGTACCTTCATGTCCAAACAGCTCTCCAGGCACTATATTTTCCTCAGGTCCACAAATGACACTGTCATTCCAGCTCATCTCTTAGGTAGGATATATAACGTAATAACCCTTGGGGCAGAAGCATTTAGTGCACAAAGGGTCTCAGATTTTATAGTTCATGAAATTTTACAAAGTAAATAAATATCTGATCCAAGTGATAAACACTTACGCCCGTTTCACTAAATTGCTGATACTCTTAACGAAACAGCTGTCCTGTGTATCTATGCTCTTGTCTACATATTAGCCAAACAACTATAATATCAGTGAATATTACTGACAGGAATACTGAGAAACCAACAGAATACTTGTCTTCGTCACTTATTCCCATTTTTTAACATTGACGTAGATTATGAAGTATGAGAGAAAAATGACGTGAAAATTTGAAGAAATGTGAACGCTGAGAAATATGGAACAGCCGTAGCTGTGTCCCTCGAATCCCCCGTTGATTTGGAAGAATAAGATGAGGAATATATTCCAGGAAATAAATATTTGTTAATTTAATAAATAAAAATGAAACAAGTTTCTACTGCAACATTAACTGTTAATACATTCTTTTTCTTTTCATTTGCATACATTCAAAGAAACGCTAGCATAAAAAATATCCTGTATCTACCATATTTTTTTTAATTAGTGTAACAATGTTTAACTATGTGTTGTAATTATTTCCATAGCTTTTCTGGTGTTCTGTATACATCTGAATAAAACTAGATATCTTGCATCATACTAATCACACATCCCATGCATTTCTGGTCTTAGTCTAATTCTGTATTTCAGCCCCATACATATTATGGTATTATAAAATAGTTTTAAAGAAATTATTTTTATCTTTTTCTTTTATTTGCCATCTCCAATTTGTTGTTCTTGTATGGTTTGATAAAATCTTCCATAGTTTTCATTTTCTATTGTCTCATCCTGTATTGTCATCTTTCAGCATCCACAAGTTTGAAGATTTCTGTCTTCTGGGTTGTTGCGCTATGTAGTCTGGTTGATGTTTACCAACGTTTCAGAGGTCATACAGCGCAACAACCCAGAAGACAGAAATCTTCATACTCACCGCTGTGAAAACCTCAAATATTCCATCCACAATTTTGCTTTCGAAATGCCTAAAATAATCACATTCTCCACTACGTGGCCATTGTAACTAGAATCTTTTATAAGCCAATTATCTCCACTCTTCTCTGTTCTAATATTCATATCGAATTCTTTTCTGTTGATTTCCATTAAACATTTCTTATTCACGGACTCTTCTTACCTTGTGTGTTTCCTGAATATTCACATTTATAATTGCTGCGCTCTAAATAAGTGTTAATTAAATAAGGGAGTAATAGTCTTGTCTCGGTCCGTTGTTTATGGTATTGTGCTCATGTCTCACAGTCTGTCGATCCATTGGTTTGTTTGTTTGTTTGTTGTTGTTGTTTTGTTTTTTTTGTCTTATTGTCCTGCGGTTACTTAAAATTAAACACGATACAGAAATTAATTTGGGTTACTGATGAAGTTCTGAATTGACAGGTACTGTAGCAGGAAATGACTGGACCTACATTGCGGATCATGTGTTGCATTCGAGAACCTATCGGGACATGCTTTCTTTAATGAGGAAAAAGGTGGGTAACAAGTATGGTATATAGGCCATTTCTTAAATTAAATACAGAAGCTCCAAGTTCTGTGGCTTTCAGATTCTGAACAAACAAAATTGTCATGTTGATCACCTGCTTATCTATAATATGAGCGCAAACAGGTATAAAAGTGGAACGATGTACCTTTATTCCACTCCGTTCACCTCACACATATTGTGCTTCAGAGGTTTCGTCTTTTTACTACTGTTTATCCTGCAGTTATCCCAAAACACAAAATATAATAGACAAGCAAACAAGTTGGCACATCACGCAACACCTAGACACATCTTACTTTTCCATGTAAACGTTCTGTTTCTGAATACGCTCAGTCCAACGTTCCACAAGTTTCCTGTTCGTGTTAGAATGAAATATTTTCATTTGTGTCTTGATTCATTCTGTTTCTGCTTCTTTCATGCTCATTTCAGCTCAGTTTCATCGATGCTAATTCTTTGGTTGCGCTGTGTCCTCTGCTGAATGATGATCTCCTTAATCTGAACATATGTTACAGTCAGTAGCTCCACAGACTGCATTCTTACGTTCTGTTTTCACACCCTCCGACCACAGTTCTGTCAGTGTCGTGATCTTACTGATTTTAAGTAGTGCGTGAGCTGCAAGAATTCAGTATTGACATTTGTTTCATTATTGTTTTACATGAAGGGGTTTGTGCCATGTGTTCTCTTACTATGAAAATCTGATATGAAGTTATTAAAGATCACAGGAATAGGAAAATATTAATCTGAGATACTGCATTGCGTTATATTCAAAAACATTAAGTTATTCTTTTTATTTATTTGTAGGTTCTAGGAGGAATGAATGTTTACAAAACAGCAGAAAATATGTTGGCCAAACTGGGACTTGGGCGACTGCCGCCGAAGTTCTGGGAACAGTCGTCGTTCAACTCCTCATGTCCCGCGCGTGTCGTTAACTACTGTAAAAATGGTGAAGCCAGGTAAATGACATTTTTTGTTTCCATTTATATCTTCACACTAGTTCTGGGTTTCCTGCATAGTTAGTAGAGATAATTTCCGCTGTCATCAGACGCATGAAGGATTTTTGTTTAATTTAATTATTTTCATGCTTTTACAAAAATATTTGATTTGAATATGGCTGTATAGTATGGTAGAAGTTTACTGATATTTCAGAGGTGCTTGCTGCTTCCATCATCATGGCAATAAGTCAGCATCAAGAACCTCTGAAACATCGGTAAATATCTACAACAACCTAGGAGACGACCATCTTCATTCTTGCCGCCACGAGAACCTTAAATCTCAGTTGTGTTATTCTCCTACAAGAGTTGTTCGCTGAATATTATGCACGCTTTGTCTGCACTGAAGAAGGAAGAAACCATCTTTGCCATCTCTGAATCAAAAAAGGAATAAATCACATAGAATTTGTAGTATTATCACGCTTGACTTGTATGTTACATGGTAGACGGAAAATGTAATGTTGTAAACATATTTGGCATCCATTATAAATATCAATATGCCACAATAATTCTATCGCTTGAGACATATTTGAGGATTTGAAACCATAAACAACCTTTCCTCACATTAAACATGATTCTGCATTTTTTCTTATATGCACGATTTCACTCAGTAACGAAGTTTTATAAATTATAATTTTATATAAAATATGTAATGTGTGAATATTTCAGAGTTCTTACTTGCAACATAACAGGATGGGCCGAGTACGTGGATGCCTATGAGACGGCGATGAGAATTAAACACATTCAACTGGCAGAAGAGAACACTTTCATTCTGAGGGACAACAGCCATTATTCAGGTGTGTTTACGCTCTCGGATAAGACTTTATTATTTCTGTCTTACAAGCACAGAAAGGAAAGTGGTAATGGGATTATTTTCCCACTACACCTACAAGAAATGAATAAATAAGTAACTTAGGTAATTTTGTTATTTTACTTTGTTTTCATTGTCAGGCTTTGTGCTTATCATTCATTTCAGTACAGGTGCCTGAGTAGTATCTTGTCTGAATTCATATATTAGCGGATTACTTTTAAGTCACGCTGTGTAATGAGTGGGAAGACATCCATCATCACACTTCCCCATTTTGTTGTGAAATCGTTACATCTTCTACCACTATTTCAATTACATTTAACATTTATCATATGGGTATAGGAGATCTGAACGCTGGGCTTGTAATCATGGGGTCCCAGGTTCGTTTCCCGATATAACTTGTGTTGGGCAAGGCCGTGGTCCAGGTATCACGGAGTTTTCCTCCGGGGCTTCCCCGGTTTCTCCGTGGCATCCCAACGATTACTCCACGGCAAACCACTTCTGGATCATTTGGCGAGGAAACACATGAACAGGTCCCCATCTGAGGGAACTTGTTCATAATGTCACCAGGGGTCGGCTCCGACCCGATGGTACAAAAAAGAATAGGAGATCTAAACCCCCAAACTAAGCAGGAGACCTTCTCTTTAGATTTTAATGGTTTAATGATGTGCTACTGCAATTAATGACCAGAAACAGCCAGCTGGTTTGCATTTCAAGAGCGATGCGTGGTGAACGAAAGTTAAAACAAAATAATGTTCTATAATGCTTTATTTTTACAGCAATATATGAAGCAGTGACTGGATTATCTGCACTGTTGGCAACATCACCGGAATATCTCCAGGAACTCGGTTTGCTAAAATCCAACCACAAACAGAAGAAATCAGCACAACTTTCCAGAGCGTCTCTTTTACTACTGGTGGCACTCCGAACTTTGCCAAAATTACCGTACTACTTAGCTGCAGACTTATGGAGATTAGAAGCTCTCAGTGGCAATCTGACAAACATTACAGATCTGAATGCTTTATGGAGAAGATACAGGTCTGTATTTGGTTTGTGTTTCTCGGCAGGGAAGTTAAAAGTGGATGTCATTGATTTATTAAAAACAAGTCAATTGGAAAATGACACTCTAATGTGTAGAAATCAAACAGAAAAGAATATTTCACTTCACGATCAAATATTTTTAATATGAACAACATTTTTAAATGAGTGTGCCATTTCTGGCCATCTTGAATACATTTACAGAAGAACATAGAAATGTTTATATTTGACTTCATTAATTATGTGAAGTTTCATTGAATATATAAAGATGCTTCTTACTCAAGTCGCCATAGTTTCAAAGCTATTCAAGGCACTGATTGAAATAAATGAAAAAGAACCATCAGATATATATGCAAGGATGGAAATATGAAGGTGAAGTCTAGAATACTGATTTAAAATTAAATCAGTGGATAGAGACTTAAATGTGAATGGCCTGTAACATCAGTGTATACATCAGTGGTCCCCAACGTGGTGCCCGCGGGTGCCGTGGCGCCCGCCAAAGCCTCTTTTGGGTGCCCGCATTGTTACGGAAAGAGGTTATACTGAATAATGAAGGCCGTTCAACCATGAACATTATAAAATCAAAGCACAGATCTCGACTTACTGACACCCATCTTGACGGCTGTTTGTTAGCAGCAACATCATCCTACACTCCCAAATTTGAAAAAAAAAAAATGCTGATAAATGCAGTGCCAAACATCACACTTAACTTCCCACTTGAGTAATAATAATTGTACTTATAAAACTACATATTTTTGATTGCATGGTTTCTTGTATCATTAAACGTCGTGTTGTTTTGTGTATTATTTGGTGTCCATATCTTATTTGTCCAGAGAAAAGAAAATTTGGCTTTGTTAATAGGTTGGTGCCCGCCATGATCTCATAAACTCTCAAATGTGCCCATAGGCACAAAAAGGTTGGGAACCTCTGATCTACATAATCTATATTTTTAAGTTTACCAGCTGACACTAAAATTCATACGTGGGTTTTAGAGGAATTTTTATATATATTTCTGTAGAAGTTATGTAGAGAGCTATTCAGTACTAGATTTTAAAGGTAAACATAAAACTATACACCGAGTTACAGTTGTGAGGTTCATGTAACTGGCTGCATATTCAAAAAGTTTCAGATCTCTTACTTTTGCTTGCAATGGAAAGGAGTGTTGATTTTGGGACTTTTCTTTCCATGAAAATTTACGAGTTCTCTAACTTCTGAAAGAGGTAGAGAAGTTATGTTACTGATCTAAACTTCAATATTTTCAGAAAATGAATATTATTTTAAATGCGTTAAATTAACTATCTCAGAGACTTCTTCATGTGTTTGTTTCACAGAACGGATATGCAAATGATATCAGTTCCTTCAGGGGACGAGACGATATTTGACTTCCTATCAGATCCATACATCACATCTAACAAGCCGTACTTAGGGTAAGTCAGGTCTTAAAATCTAATGTTAATTTGGGAGGGAAAAAATGTTTAATTGTTTTACTGAACTTGGAATGTTTGCACATAACATTATTTTAAAAGACTTCATACAAACATTGCGCAAAAGTAAAAGAGGAGTCAATTGCAGGGTCTGTGTTCTCGGTAATAAACACTTCGGTTGAGTAGAAGGTGGGGAACTTTCTGAGTAACAGAGTGACCATTACCTTTTCATAAATGACACTACTCCATTAAGTTATATTTTATATCCTGGCTCATTCAGTTCAGTAATTAGACATTTATGGTCCCCTCCTCTCCCTGATTTCTGGCCGTGCATTTTCATTCCTCCTCGAATTCCTGATGTTGTGCTTATCAAAGAATGTGTCTGGTAGATTATCAATTATGTCTTGATGGGAAAATAATCACTCTCTAAAATTCAATTTCTCTTAAACTGGTTTAGATTTTAGTTTGTCATAGTGGCAAGTCTTTTGGGTTGTTGCGCGATGTAGTCTGGTAGAAATTTCTGGCATTTAAGATGACCCAGAAGACAGTCATCATCATATTCGTGCCACGAGAACCCGAAATCTTCCCATTAACCACTGTGAGGAGGATGCTCTTTGCTATGTCTGGAGATTCTGTGCCTTTACTCGTCGCCCCTGCTGTGGAGGCAGCAAGCACCCCCGAAACATTAGTAAACTTCTGCCAGACTACACGGCACAACAACCCAGGAGACAGTAATTTTCTTTCTGTTGAACTGTTTTTATGCACGAATGTTCTCATATAAACAAAATATTCTTTGCTCGTTACCATATTTTAATTACCCCCATTTATTCTGATGTACTTAGCTATATATACAGTAATCTCTGCTTTCCTGCTGTCACTGACAAAATACTTTTGTGGTGGTATTTAATTTCAGAAAATTCTGCGGACTTATACTACAATTTCAGCTGCTTCAGAGACTGACAGAAGGAGCAGATGTGGAAAGATGTGAAGGTGACTCTGATGTATGTACGTCAAGTGAAGATTTGAAGTAAGTAATCAGAGAATGTAATGAATAGAAACAGTTTTTGTTTCTGCATTGGTGCCTGGAACGTTAATATACACGAGCATCATCTTTAAAATACAAATATCTTTTATGAAGCTCAGCAAGAAATGCCAGTTCCATGCAGATTGGTAATTTACACGAGCTCTTACTGACTCTGATGTACAGAGTTCCCAAAACAGTTCTAGAAAGAAGAGTAACGCACTGAGTTAGGTAAAACAAAACAAGATATCTAATAACTCTGTTCTGTGCCATCTTATTTAACAGAAAATTTATATAATGGGCAATCGTGACTGATGGATTTCAAGTCGTAATGCATGCATCCGTAGCGGGCGGCATTTCCTATCTTGACCCTCCTGTGATTATTGAAACATTTATTTTTACACCAGATTTTGTCCCAAATGAATGAACCTCACATCTAACTCTTTTTACGCATCCTCTAATAGACAATAAGTGGGAACTTGCCTTGCATAGAGATTTTCCTACAAAAAATATGTGCCACTTTATTCTGTGCTGAAATTCGTTATTGGATAAAAACTAGCTTCGTACTACAAGAATAAAACAAGAAATTAACCACAAAGAACTAGGAACTCAAAAATATCTTGACAAATTTATAATACATAAATAATCTGCTAGTACCGAGATAAAGGAAAGTAAGTCGTAGAAGTATTTTTTAGGAAGTCAAAACAAATTATGTTTATTGATCTTTTTAAATTTATATATGGATGAGAATACATGAACAGACCAGTTATGTGTTGGTTCTAAGAAGTCTGGTAAAAATCTACCATGTGGACGTCAAAGAAATAGGAAAATTGTATTCATGTTGCTGTTGCAAACACGATAATGAACCTTGAGGTTTCATATAAGACAAGGAATTACTTGACAAGCTGATGAACTATCAGCTTCTCAAAAATTACTCCTCACAGCTATTCCAAAGAGTAAAGATAATTAATATATTTTTAACTCTCTTTAACATGTCCAGTGACATGAACCCTTTTCAGCCATGCACCATTTCTTACACATGGTCCAGAGTAGCGTATCATTTATCTATTAAACCCCAGAGTTGAATTATGGAAGCAACCTTAGTGTCCAGGGTCGAAGTCCCCTCGTTCCATATGATAAAAAAAACATTCTTCTGTATCACCGACCTTCAACATGGGAATATGAGATTTAATTCCCTGTACTCCAGGGCTGCCAAGCAGATTTTAAATATAGGAGGGGTGTTTAATGGTGCCTTTATTCTACTATGAAATGCTGCCAGCTGGACCATAGTAAGCCATGAAACATGGCCGATAAAGATTAATTATTTTGGACTCTTCCACTATCTGAGATAAATTTAATTTATATGGTATATAGGGAGTTAATGGATAATTGTAAGCAACCAACAGATATAAATCTTTTTCAATATTAACTTCTGATCAAACATGCTCAATCTCTGGGCCATAATTAGTCAAAATAGCATCAAGGACCACTTTTGTTGCTGGCTCTCTGTCCCATTGATCATGCCACTCATTGCAGCATGCGAAAGAGTTGGTGGTGTATGGAGTTTATTTCTGAGATTCAAAATATAAAAGTAACACAAATTAAATTTGGATTTTTTACCATAATTGTAGCTCATACTCTTTCTTCTCCTTTCTGTCTAAAGTGATAGTTCCCTTGCCTTTGGAACGCTGCTTCAAAGTGGAAAATCCAGAAAATGGCCGGATCTTCTAGCGGAAGTACTCGGAATAAATGATCTGGATTCTGGACCACTCCTTCAGTACTTCCAAAAACTTGAATCATATCTAGAAGAACTGGGGCGGTTAGAACCAATTAAACCAAGCAGACATGTCGTCAGATCGACGAGCACACCATTGCCAACAAGTGATGCTGAGATTTTGTACGAGAGTTCTAATGACACTGATTCAGCAGTGAACTCTACAAAGGCGTCTGTTAAACAGAATTCAGACAGCAGTGAACAGCAGTCAAAGTATGGAACTGGAACTATAGTTCTTTTTGCATGTGGAGCCCTTACTGCTGTGGTGGTTGTGGTTGGTATTGTTATGGTTCGTCATCAATGCCTTGGTAAATATCACATTTATAGCCAGGCAACTACTCGAGAAAGCTAGTTTTTTTAATTATTGCACATCTCTGGTTTGTATCAGTGCTTCGTGTTTTAATTGTTAATATAAATTAAATTATATTCCATTCGATGACTTTCATTGTTGATAATTTTGTAATATAACAATAATAAAACAAGGTTAACATGGCATTTGTTTAGTCTCTGAAGTGAAACAGTTCCCACTCAAGAAATTACCAACATTTTACGGAACCCGAAGGTTCCTCCAGCTTGGGGGTTGAGCGTGGGGCTAACAGCTCCTGACTGTCAAAATAATAAATTGCTACGAAATGATAAAGTGGATCAAAAATAGAAATTTCACTACAATTAAGTGAACTCATCAGTTGGAATTATGAAGGGACGAAGTATGCTACGATTTGTCTTGACCAAACATCGCCATGCTAGTCTCAATGAGGTTATCCCGTTGGAGGCCTGAAACGGCTGCCCTGTGCATGTTGCAATTCTGCGCACGGTTGCTTTGTATGGAAACAGACACTCACATTTTCTCTCATGGACATCATCCATGAACCTTGGGCATTCGCCTCGCATCCTGTAAGGTATGACTGCGTTTCATTATTGTGACTTTTCTGATTCAACATAAAGCGTGCATATCACACTGTTATTTTAAGATGTAGAAAATTGTGTTTTGAGGAGCTTCGAGACTTGTATTTTTTACCAAGTACCATAATGCAATCAAGGAAGATGAGATGAGAAATAGTCACAAAATTTTAATTGGAAAACTAAAGGAGCATTTGGGTAGTTGGGAGACTTAGTCATAACAGGGGAATAATATTTGGTTGTATAAAGGAAGACAACATACTACAAACATTGAAAATACTTATAGCCTCTGTGTCGAGATTGCTTCTGGAGCCCACCCAGCCTCCCATTCAATGGGTAACAAAGTCCTTTCCCAGGAGTGAAGTGTGGCCAGTTTGTGCTACTGACTGCTCACCCCCTTCTAGTGCCAAGATTGAGAATGAGTAGGAGCTATATATGCATAATTTCTCCTAAGTTCATATAAGGGGGTGGCCTTTTTATTAGGCCTGATTGTATTTCGTAAACAAATTAAAATTTTCAAGGTCAGAGACAGTTATTTTTGCATAAGATTAAGGACTTCAATTCTGTAGTTCGATGAAAATTTGGACAGTCAATTAGAACATGTTACACGTTCAGGAAGTTTTCTCGTTCGTTTCGAGTTACAAATGACACTTCTAATGAGAAAACAATTATGAGTCATTACATGTTTCAATGGATGATAACCATCCATTTTTATACAGCGTGTGTGGTTCATTTGGTTTACACTTCAGGTTTGGTGGGTAACTTACACGTTCTACCTTTTCATTTGTTAAAAAGGGTTTCTCACTCATATGTGACAAGGCATGTTTCATTCACATACGAAGTTGCGGCTTTCTCTAAGGAAACAACGGTTTGCCATGTCGTGGGGGAGGGGGTGGTACCTTTAACCTGCACAAGACTTTACCTTGCAACTTTGTGATGGCGCCTGGACGCCATGCAGTCTGGACGTCTCCCTCCACTCGTGACGTCATAACATGGTGTCTGCGCAATGGCGCCATGAAAAGAATTGAACCATTGGCAGGGGGCGCGTAGGGAAGGGTGGGCGGTTAGTTTTGTAGCTGCGAAATGCGTGTGGTGAATACTGTAGTAGCTCTGCACCCCCAGTGCACAATTATGGGCGGCTGTGGTGAGAGTGAACCGGGATTATTCTAGAAGAACGAGAGACTAGTTACGAGTATGACGTAATAGTGATTGTGGATCCTAGTGGAATACTATCTAGCCTGCTGGTGAAACAAGTGAGAAGGTAAGATCTAAAAAGAGAAATGATTCTAGCTATACGTACTGCCCCATTTCTCAAATAACGTGTCCTCAATTCGTGCATGCAGTACTTCGATTAGAAGGTTATTGAAGGCTAAGCGCATGTCTACGTCAACAAACAGAAAACAGAGTGCAAAATACAAAATTGTGAAGAAATTCTTTATATTAACCACAAAGGAAAATCTGAGTTATGACTTTCATGTCAAAGTGTTTTTCAACCAGTGGTCTGTGTACCCGTAAGGGCCCACAAGTTGTGCCCATGGGGTCCTTGATTTGAATAGATTCTGCTTTTATTTTTATGTTTTCTTGTAAGTTTTATGCGTTTATCACATTCTTTACTTCCACTTTGGAGTAAGAAACACGACGAAAGAAAATAAACTATACCTTCTATCGTACATATTAGTCCATAGTTTATTTAATCAGAATGTATGGGATAATTTTTGATTCGGGGTCCACAGTGATGGATATTTTTACAGGCAGGATCTGAACCTGAGAAAAATCTTCTGGAAATTAAATTTTAAATGCTCAAGTTTCACGAGCTTGTTGCAGGTATACGAGAATCCACACTACTTTGGAAATACGAAGAATCATCTGTATGCATGTTCATGTTTTGTATATTACGTATGTACTGGTCATGGGTGATGAGCACAAGTGTTTCTCCTCGCGAGTTTGATATTTCCTTTCGACGATATTACGAATTGTATGAAATAGGGGAGTACAAATTTAAATGACTCGATTGTGTCAGGACGTCCATACAAAATTTCAATTATTTCAGACCGTCCGTTCTGTTGTTATGAAATTCGAACGACGATCATCAAACTTCAGTCTGATAACCTTGATTTTGGTTTAGTTGTGTTACGTTAAGTTAGGTTAGTGGCGCCACTATGGAGAAGGTGATGCGTAAGTCCGTCACTACATGCCGGTTCCGTGCGTACATTACCGATTATGGTGATTTACGTACATATATTACATACATTCGAATATGAAAAATATTTTTGTTTGTGACATTACTTCATTGGAAATTTTTTATGTATTCTTTCACGGGTAATTTATTATAGAATGCGTGCAGGCAGGAATCACAGTATTATATCCAATTACTGTATGACAGCGTAGTCTGGAGGTAAATTTTTTCCCCCAGATAATTAAAGTCCATCTGTACCCGTTACACATGAAGTAGCGAAATAGATTTCAGGGTCGAATCAAATACTCGCCAATAACAAACAGTCCCATGTTTTACATCACTGTAAACACGTACTTTACCCAGCTACGCTGTTTAAATGATTCTAGTTTATGCAGACATAAAGCAGACACCTAATATTTTTTATGGCGAAGACGGACGCTGTTTTCTGATCTCTGTTCTCGTCTTGACTCGCTCATTGCTCTTGTAATTCCACACGACATCCCGGTGCAAGAAAGCACAGGAAAAGGAACACGGCTCTGTAACAAAGTCAGAACTAGCCTCGTTCACTTACAGGTCGTGAGATCGATCGTACAAATCGGAAAACTAACATAAGCACTACTTTGCAACTTTATGTCGTAAATTTATGTTCTTTGCGAATTCCGGTAGATAGCGCCGTTTTGTTTTGTAGGTCTTTCAGTATTTACATAACTTTATTGTCTATAATACGTAGGCGTAGTATGGCGCCAGGTCGTGATTTTAAATAGAATTATATTCTATTCCTTAGCCATCTATTCACACCATCTCACGCAGAAATTTTAAATATTTTTGGATTAAAACTTAAAATTATACATTACGTTATTAAACATCTTAAAGTTATTTAGTTATAACAATACACAGTTTATGGCTGTATTTTTTTTAAAATTTGGTAAATGCAATGCGCGTTTAATTAATTATGAAGTAGCAACGATTTTTAACGTACATATTCATCAGCGGTCTGTACATTAAATTTGAAATTAACATGTTTTACCAGGTGGTTCCATTTGTTGCGTCTATATGAAAATTTTTGCACCCAACTTTTAAAATATTCCCCCCTTTTTAATAGATTTTAACCGGTATAGGACCGGGAGTAGGTTATAAATCCTCCCCATTTATACAATTTTCATTATGTTTTTAACATTTCATAAATATTGTATTTTGATGTAGTCAGTATATTCATAAACATTTTTAAATGAAATTTTTTAATGGTGAAGGATCGCTTTCAGTTTTCTACACAGGATATTTATTTAGCCTGGTCAGACCCTTTCAGCAGGGTGAAATATGGATGTAATTGGTGTGGTAGAGTGGGGATGATTGCATTAGCCATTAGGATTCAGTGACAATTTGAAGGGGTCGGAAAGTAATTCAATCATTACAATCCACGTCACGATAGTCAATTACAGGTGACCCGTAATTTCCTAACTAGGTGACAGTAAAATTTGTATTTTATACTAGGCTCTAAATACAAATTTCAACATCTGTAAAATTACAAAAGTATGTTTTACAGTCAACTTGGTGGTATAATTAAGCAACTAATATATTTTCTGTGTTCTTTAATTAATTTATAGAAACTTATTATTATTATAAAGTGTTACTAGTTTCCTCCATTAAAATTTGCACATTAAAGTACATTTAAAACAGATCTTTTAACCCCACCTCATTAAAATAGACGTTTACATAAATTAGAGAAATTTGCGTAATTATGATACTTTCAACTTCAGACTTGCAACATTGTAGTTCGTATCTTCTCGAAGCGTAGATTTTTGTCCATTTATTTATTACCATTATTATCACTTTTTTTAATTTTTAAGCCTACTTCTCACCAAAAGCTGTCTGATTAATTGAACATAGGAGGACGAGACTGATGTGACATGTAGCCCTCATGAGTTAATAACATTGATAAAATGTCATACTGACAATGTTTGGTGAATCTTAGACAAAATTTTTTACCGGACAGAATTTTATTGATTGTCGTTGGTCCATCGTCCGAATTGTTGGCTCTGATAGACAAGATTAATTTCGTATCGGTTGGTTATCCAAAATAAACCGTGTATGTTCTCAGTAGTTGATACAGAATCGTAAAATTTCTCAAGAATGAACCATGGACCATACATTAAGCACTGAAAGGTTTTAGGTAGAGTTGAAATGCTGTGATGTTTGGTCATAATTTTTAGTTTCTTGTTTATTTGTTCACACACTTAGTTTAACTTCACTGACGCTGTTTCACCTTGAGTCATTCAAACTGACAACAAAATGTCAGAGGAGTGCTGGAAACAATAAAAATGGATAAAAACAACTTTCTTGTAAAATGTTTCATCTCCATTTTATGCAGGATTTAGTGTACACGCGCATCTAGCGAACTCTATAGGGAGTACGTCAAACT